TTGAAGCACTTCTCATGTAGGTCCACCCGATAGCGGGTAGGGGGCCGCCGTTTCGCCGAAGATGCAGTGTGGGCGGGGCGTGCCCCGCCAGCCGTTTGGCGACCCTTGCGATAGGACCTCACACCAGCCGTCAGCATCCGGAGCAGAGATGCGATGGCGGGAGCCGCAGCGCGGACCGAACCGCATGTGAGCCGGTACACGCTGCTCGCAATCATGTCCGGTTGTCGCTTCCGTGCCTCGGCCAGGAAGTCGATGAATGAGTTACGGGCGTGGTCGGCGATGGTTGTTGCGCTTGCGCCGATGGCCGGTGCACGCCTGACTGGCAGCACGACCGCAAGCGGCAACAACGATGATGGAGCGCGTCCGTTCTCTCTCAGGCAGCAGTGACGTCCTCGGCACCTGCGGCTCACGAAGAACCACGTCGAGGTAGGTGCTTGGGTAGACGGTCGCGATGCTTCCACATCAGAGTTGCTGAGGTCATCGTCCGCCCAGCGACGAGGCTTGGTGCGCCCAGCCGAATTTCCCTCAAGTCGGAAGGGAGCGTCATGAGGAAAGGGAGGACGACGGCCTCGGGGATGAGCTACTCCTGCTGGTCTAGCGCCCATCGTCTTGAGGCCTGAACATGTCGACGAGGAAGGTATCTAGGGGGTCTGCTGCTGGAGCGCCGGTGGAGGACGTGGCTGCGGCGGCGTCGAACGGAGTGGCGGACACCGAGAGGGGGGAAGAGCTAGGGGTGACCGGCGGCGCTGCGGCAGCCTAGGGGTGACTGGGCGACGTCCTCGGATCAACGCCCCCGGCAACAGATCAACGTCCGACGCAAGCGCAGGCGCCAGATCTGACCCCCTCGCACGTCGCAGTGGAGGCCGTGTCTGGCCCCGGTGAAGGGGGCGGTGGAGCCTCCAGGATGCGCCGCAGACCCTCGGACAGCGGCAGAGCCACACCCTCGCCAACGCCGGGATCCGTGCATAGTTTTGGGGTAGGCGGCTGCGGGCCCATATCCAGCACTCACGCGCTGCTGCAGGGAGCCCGCGGCCATAGCGTCCGCTCCCAGTGGCAGGGGCATGCCGGCGGAGGAACCCGCCGCTGGCGGCGCTGGAGGCCATGCCGCGCTCGCATCTCATTCGAGCGCGATTGAGGAGGGAAGAGGGAAGTGGAGGGGAGGAAGGAGGAGGAGGGCGGGGGAGCTGAGGGCGGCGACGCCGCGGTGGCGGCCGGCGGTGGCGGCGGGGAGGCGAGGGGCTCCTAGGGTTGGGAGCGCATGGGCCGGGCCCTTTCAGCTTCGTCGTTGGTTTCTTCTGTTTCCCCAAGCACTTGCTTTGTCTCTAGAAAATATATATATCGTCAAAAGACAAAAGTTGTTCGTTTTCCGTTGGACCTGGGCTGCTTACTCGTTAGGTAGCCCATTAGGCCCACTCACATAGATCGTCGCGTCTTCCTCGCTAGAAAGAAGACCAGCTGTCCGAGCGAGTCTATGCTCGGATCCAAATCCAACATATGCATTTAGTTTTTTTTTTAATAAAAAAATCCAACATATGCATTTGTACCATTCAAAAAAGGCATTTGTATATACTACTATGTAAGTATGTATACCTCATGGTCAACTTGTGCCGTGCTTTCTCTCTCCTTCCTTAAATATCTATTTGGCTTCTAAATAAAAGTTATACAATTGTACTACTATATATTTTTTTAAACTACTATATATTTGTTTTAGGTTCCAAGATATAAGGATCGGCATACATATTCCAAATTCCAACGCTATTCATTATTGTAAAAAAAGTTCCAACGCTGTTGAGTAACTCCATTCTTTGCTTAATTACATATATCTCTATTTGGCTTAATTTTATAATATATGAGATCGAAGTAAATTTTCATAATTTTTACGGTATGGCGCCTAGCACCAGGATGTCCGGATACTAGCGACCGTTCGAACGCCAGCGTCCGCCCAGGCCTTGTCCTGAATTTTTAGGGGCCCAGGGTGAAACAAAATTTTAAGGCCCCTATGTACACATGAACCACGAAACTCTTTTAGGTATTCGAGAAAAAACACATGAACGACGTCGTAGCCACCGTGACGCACGACTTCAACAAGGACATGTTGCGATGGAAGCGCATGTTGCAAGCATATGTTTCAAGTGTTTTAGACGTTTCAAAGGTATATTGCAATTGTTTTATATGGATGTTGCAAAAATAGATTAGGGATGTTGCACATATTGCAAGTGTTTCAGAGGTATGTTCAATTGTTTTATATGGATGTTGTAAAAGTAGATCTGGAATATTGTACATATTGCAAGTGTTTCAGAGGCATTGTCGGGTTCATAAACTCGGGGTCCCTCGCGGACCGGCTTTCCAACAAAGGCTCGGCCCAAGCAGACAACGTGCAACTCGTGGGCCGGCCCAAGTATCTAAATGACAGGCCAGAAGGGCGACCCAATCACCAACCGGAAGATCTGGCCGAGGAGGAACGACGCCTGTTTTTCGACTCCGGCCCACCTCTTCGACTGGAGCACTTGCTTCGGTTTCAACCCGCCTCCGGACGGCCTCTCCGACTGGAAGGCCTGGCCAAAGCACTACTTCTGACTTCGACCCGGGGATGCGCCAAACCCCTACTCACTGCTCTTCCTCGACTGGCACTATCAGAGCCGACTGGGACCAACCGACCGGGGACGCCCGCTCGGTAAGGACCAGGGAACGAATGGAGAAAGCAAGGCAGGGCGCACAAGTCAAACCGCAATATCAGGGACCGTACCCTGCTCACCTGTCAGGCAGTACCCTGTGACCCTCCTGGCATGACAGAACCCATGTAGTGTTGTAGGCGCCGACATTTTCCCCTACATTATTGTGGGCGCCATTAACTCCCATACGGTAAGGCTCCCCCCACGTGTCTCTAGGCATCGACAGTGTTGTAGGCGCCGGCATTTACCGTACTAGTCGAACATGATAAAACCCCTTGCATACCTCTAGGTATCAATAGTGTGGCAGGCATCGACGTCTGTCATACCCAAAGAAGACAACACAACCTCCCACGTGCATCTGACATCAAATAGTGTTGTGGGTGCCTACCATCATCCTGTACCCACCGATGTGGGCAACAAGGCTCAGTGGCATACGTACTCTCTCCCTCTCACTTGTAAGGCCATCCCCTTCATCTATAAAAGGGGATACGCTCTCTTCCAACAGATTCAGATTGATTATCAATCAAGTTCACTACTACACAACAGCAGAACCACCAGGTTCAAACCACGAGCACACGCTCGAACACTTAGCTCATAGCGGGACTCCCGTCACTCTCGGCCCTTCCGACCAGACCTCTTGTTTCCCCTATCTTTCTCCTTCTCGTTTGTAACCCCACTGCAAACTTCGAGCACTTGGGCTCAGGAATAAAGTCACCGACCGACTCAAACTAGACGTAGGGCACGTTGCCTGAACCAGTATAAACCCTGTGTCATTGAGTGCTAGGCCACCTCCGATCACAATGTACGGCAAAACTATAAATATTTACTTGTTGGTCATTTTCTGCACCGACAGGCATGTTGCAAGTGTTTCAGAGGTGTTGTTCAAAATGTTTCATTTGTTCTAGACGTATGTTGCAAGCATTCTGATCTGGATGTTGCACATGTTTCACACATATGTTCCAAGAATATGTTCCAAATATTTTAGCTGTTTCAGTCTTATGTTGCAGTACATGTTTTCGTGGCGTAAGTTGCAAGTGTTTTATCTGATGTTGCATATGTTTCACATATATGTTGCAAGTGTATGTTCTAAATGTTTCATCCGTTTTATACAGATGTTGCATTTAAATGTTTCATGTTGCACGTATTTCATACTGTTTGGAGAGTCCATGGGCACAGGGAGTGATGGTGGCATGACACGGGCGCCAAAGAATGGGCCGCGGCGAGCTGGAGACCGGCGGTCGGGGCATGATGGGGGCGGGGTGTGAGTGCGGGACGAGGCGGGCGGCTTCGAATCTAGGCGGACAGGCGTGCTGCGGGGGCGAGGCGAGTCGTCTGGACGCGTAGGTGTTGTGATAGGGTGGGTGCGCGTTTGGGGTGGGAATAAAAATCAGCATCAACGATGGGGTTAGGCTACGCGGGTGTCTTGTCCGGATGTCCCGGCCCTAGCATAGCCCATTGGGGGTGGTTTGGGGGACTTCGGATATTAGTGCATACCTAGTTCATATGAAGCTACGTGCACCTCGTTGGAGTCTCACTCCGAGTTGGCCGCCCGCCACGGCACCACCGTTGAGTTGGGTGATCGCGTCGCAGTTGCTGCGTTGTGTTTCGGATTTGTGATTTGGTTCCGAGATGAGAAGTCACAGTCGCAGAGTCAACAAACAAATCGCGAACACCAATCTGCTAGGCTGACGTGGGCCTTAACGAGCCAACCAAGCCATATACTGATACAGCTACGTTTTGAGTGTATACCTGGGGTGGGCCCCTTGGGATTTGGGGCCAGGGCGGCCGCCTCGCTTGCCCGCCCTTAGGGCCGGCCGTACGTCCGCCGCACATGCTGCTGCGCCTGCTCTCAAATGCCGCTGCGCATACGCATACTATTGTGCGCCCGTGCTAACTACTGCACATGTAGGTGGGGACCACCCACGCTAGCTTCGCAATATACGTCTGAAATGGGTGAAACATTTACGATATATGCTTGCAACATATGTATATAGCCACAACAACATATGCAATATTTAGATAAAACACTTGCAACATACGTCTGAAACAGATGGAACATTTACGATATATGCTTGCAACATATGTGTATAGCCACTGCAACATATGCAACATTTAGATAAAACACTTGCAACATACGTCTAAAATGGATGAAACATTTTGAATAGACACTTGCAATGTATCTCTGAAATACTTACAACATACCTCTAAAACACTTGCAACATGTGCAACATCGCGATCTACTTTTGCAACATCTATAGTAAACACTTGCAACATACCTTTAGAACATCTGAAACACTAGAAACATGCATTTGCAACATACGGGTCCTACTACCGAGGTGTCTTTGCCCGACTGCGGTAGACGATGTCTCGGCCGGTGACGACCTTCTCCCAGTGGCACCGGGGTGGTGGTGGCGCGGTGAAGGTTGTGACCGCGACGGAGAGTATGGGTTGGGGCATGGTGGTGGATGGCCGCGATGGCGAGGCGGCGCAGGATGGGGCACGTGCGGGGATGGCAGAGTAGGGCGGTCGGGGCAGGATGGGGGCACATGTTGTGAGCACCGAGAGCACCACTACACAAACGCCATGGGAGGGACTGCAGTAGCCTAGCACAGACATAGAAGCAATGGATGATAGCACAATGGACGTAGAACCTTGTGCTCCATCCTCTGCACCGCAGCTCAAAACGACATGGCCACGGGCTTTATCCTCAGCGAACTCTCCTTGTGGATGTAGATCCGCCACGATGCAGTCGTCCCCGTCCTCAGTCCGCGCTCTCGCCATCAAGTTGGAGTGCGCCGCCAAAGAGCAGTGGCTCCCGCGAGGTGTTCGGTTGAGTGGAAGCGCAGCACGGCGGTGGAGGCGTGCTTGGGCTTGACGCCCTTGACGCGGACCTAACCGATGCAGGTGACCTTGGGGAAGGACGGTTCGGTAGGTTCAAATCCACCTCGGCCGCGGCGCCCACCGCCAGTGAACCCGGACGGGAGAGCTCCCACTCGTCTCTGTCTCCTTTGTCTCCGAGCGTTGGCGAGATTGGAGAGCTTCTCCGAGGCTCCAGCGACAGCGGGGTCCTTCGAGGTACCTGCGGCGGAGGGGTGGGAGCAAGATGCACGGGGTGGTGGGGAGGTGACCTGATATGGGCGAATGGCTTGGACGGAGCCTGGCTTAGGGGGAACGACCACCCCCGGCGTTTTCAGGAAGCCCGGCTAAGGGGCTCTAGTTGCATTGCCTAAGCCTGGCTAGGAACGAAAAACAGACAATCAAACATGTACGTGGACACAGGGTGCAGCCAGGAAGCCTAGTTAGAGGCTAAGCCACTCAACCAAACACACCCATAAAAGCCCAAACAAAGAATGAGTCAGAAAGGACAAGAGGAACAGAGATCACACGAGGCTATCATGATATGGCCACATTAACATTCACTGTAGCGCGCTGCACGCGCATGCAACCCGTCATATTTGGCTTTAATCATCTCAGGCTGTTTTGAGCGGGAATATATAATGACGATCTAACCATGCATCACAACACCACACAAAAGCACGCATACCAAGCCAACTAGATCAAAACTTGCGTCGATCGTAAGATGCTGCAACCGCGCACCTACATTTCGCGTTCGCGATTGCGACGTTTTTCTTCTCCAAAGATCGCACAAATTAAAAGGATGATGTGTTCGCACTTGCTTAGTTTCCTCGTGACGGTTTCTCCGATCGATCCAACAGCTAGCAGCAACACAGCTGAACTCTGACAATGCAAACAGGTAGCAAGGCTCGCAGCAGTCAGCAGGCATGCGTGCGTGTTGCACACACGATCATAGCGGTGGTGGTTGGAGGGGGCACGTTCGTACCAAATTAAGGTGCCTGGTCACGTTTCCACAGATCACCGTGGGTCAAAAAAGGGCGACGTCTCGTTAGCTTCTCGTTCAATGCTGCTACGGGCGAGGGGCTGAAACATGGGTTGCAACTGCATGCGACGACGGACCAACCTACCAAATGCTTCGAGAGCAAACCATCTGTTCATGCATGACGAGTGATCGAGTAGGCTTGTGATGCCCTTCGTTCCCAGCAAATTCAACTGTTACACGCGAGGTTGTATTACACCTTTCCCTAAATTTAAAGCAACCCCCAAATTTATTTTTAAATCACTCGTGATTGTATTACACCTTCTCCTTGACCTTCAAGCAACCTGAAGGTCAAGGGGTGGAAGGGAAACACAACAGAGAACAAGAAGATAAAATAGGGCTTATCTGGTAAAAAGTAAAATTCATTGTTTATACATTGATTATAAATGGGACATTTATAGGAGAGGCAAACAATCTCTCCATATTTTCTACAGTCCACCCTACATTCCTGCCATATTCAAGGGGTACAATGATCTTTTGTCCACTTTAGAGCCGTTGGTCCTGCAGCCCGCGTCAGCTATACCTGCCTCAATTCATTAGGCTAGCGCAGTAGCGCCCAGTCCGCCGAGGTCGGCATCGATTCAAACCTTGAGACCCCAAAGGCTTCTGCCCACATGCATGGACCTTTGTACTCTCATGGTCTCTAACCTTGGGCTTTCTTGTTATACCTTAAGGCATCCACTGCATTCTCGACCTTTAGGAGTCGTCTTGCTTCTTCATGCTACCTCAATCCTCCATAAGTAGCCTTTAGGGTCTAAGTCAAAACGTGTTAACTCTGATCAAAATTATAGAAATAAAAAAAATAGTTATGACATCAAATTAGTATCATTGGTACGTTATAAATTATATTTTTATACTTTATAATTTTTAGGGTCCTTATATTTGACGACAAAGGGAGTACACTAGATTAGTTGCCGTTTATGTGGTCAATAGCATTAAGTGCTTAGCTTTTTTTGTTAGCAATCTTCAAATGATTTTATCTTCCCGACCATTTATCTATAATTTGTGACATGATTGTATTATTGTATCTGTTGCAATTTAATATACAAATGAGCACATGATTATATTTTTTCACAAAGAAATAAATGTCAAGTAGGCCCACATGCCATAATTAGCCGGTCTATCCTCATCCAACCATCCAAACAAAAAATGGACTCATCTTGCCCTGACCCAAGTCTTATCCAACTAAGTAAACAAAAAATTAGCTCATCCCATCGCTTAACCAAACAAACTATTTCTATGATCTATCATATCCCTAAAAAACATGGATGAGATGATGGATGATCCCATCCAACTGTGCCTACTAACCAAATACACCCTAAATAGATATTGTGTTAGGAAATGAATAAAATAAAGTTAATCAATCTTGATTAGATATACCTACTAAATTTATTCATGCAATTTTTAATACTTATTTACCTTAACATTTTAAACCATGCTAGAGCATGGTTAATGGGTACTACTATAAAATTTGCTGGTGTTCCGTACGGGAAAGTCCTTTTGTACCCTTTTAAGGCACATACAAAGCCCTAACAGAGTGTCACGTGTAATTGTTGAGGGCTAAGGTGCAACTCCTACAGTATTGTTCCATAGTAACCAAGATATGAATCATGTCCACCGAATGAGATTGCACCTTGGCCCTCAAGTAATAACTGAACCTGAGGTTCCCTTGATTGTTTGGGTCAATATGACTAACTGAGATATACACAACGAACAAAACTAACATATGGGGTGAAGAGTTACAACAATAACGAACAAGTGGAAGACATCTTCACTCTAGCCTCTAGGGTTGATACCATAGCTTAAATACACATGGAGAGGAGGAAAAGAGGTGGGAGATAGAGAGGAGATTTATCCTTTAAAAATTAGAAACTATTCATTTGTTTGAAATGAAATGGTAGGAGAAAACCCCGACAAGGACATAGAAAAATACTCATGAAGTTGGCTCTTCCGAACACCATGAGGATTTTTCACACACATGCATCATAACTAAACGGACACGCAATTAGGATATGTATATAACAACTGAGTGTCTTGAGGTCCTAGGGTGTGTTTGGTTCAGCTGTGAACTATGTCATGTGAAAAAATTATAAACTGTTTGGTTGAAACAACTATAAAATCTACCCTCTCTCTTTCTCCCTTGAAATAGTTGTAAAACATATCTCCATTTCCACCCATTTGGAAAAGTTGAAAGCCCTCCTGATGTGTGCGCATCCTGATGCATATCTAGTGGTCCACAACATAAGAGCATATGCCCTTGAGGGAAAAAAATGTGTTCGGAGTCTAAGGTGCTGCGAAAAGTATACTACACAAAAGCAGTTTCAGGTTCTTCTTGTTTGGTTGGCGTCCTACTTTTTGGTAGTAGAAGCACTTTTAAGAAGATGAAGCAAACACAACCCTACAATGTTTGACTTTTTATCCTTCCAATTTGAGAGGTGTCTTTGATCAAGTTTTGTACTAACAAAATAAATGAAATGCAATTGAGGACTGAAACACTTGATTTGCAATTTACAGCATCAGTTCTTGAATACACCCACAAAAATGATTGTAACTCCAATAACACCCATACGTTGGATGATTTAAAAACATGTGTGTTCAATAATACTCATATACATCAAAGTTTATTTTAGAATTGTTTAAAGCCATGTAATATTTTTCACTATGGAAATTAGTATATTATTATGGCTTCAAAAAAATATTCTAGAAGCCCTTCAGTTGCACATCCATATATTCAATATATAAATCAGTTCTGGCATGGAGTGAATTAAGTTAATTGACATACTGAAAATAGTTTACCTTTGTCCTATTGTGTTTTTATATGGATTTTTTTTTTTAGGTTACAGTTACATCTCAGTGCAATTAAGAAAAATTTTAGTTACAAGCCATTTATGGTTATTTAAAAACCAAGTTGAAAATTGAATGGTTTTAATATTTGAAGGTTGAAAAGCAAGGTACTTTGTAGCTAAATGTTGGAAACCCGGCCAATAGTTGATAAACTTAAATCTAAAGTTTGTGATATAAAATCTCTTGTTTCATAGCAATAGCAGGTCCCATGGGAAGAGAAAATGTCTAATCCCATCTACGTGTCTTTTCTCAACCAAAAACAATCCAATTTATGAAGAAACCCCACGCTGATCAGTCTCAGAAATGTTTTCTGGAAAAGAAAGTAGTACCAGCAAGTTAAAAAATGAGATGGCGGGAAAGCCAAGTTTCGGTTGGTCCGGACGCAGCCTGACAACGGCAGCAGCATCAGGCGCAAGCCAGCGCAGGCGGCAGCGGCAGGGCGGAGGATATCGCTTCACTTAGCGGCAACGGGGACGCCGCACCCAACCAAACCAACACGAGCTCCCCCTCACCCGCCGCGACGCGCGCGTCCCACGAGCGGAATCCCCCCTGCGCCGACGCGCGCACCAAATCGCACTCCCTCGATCGAACAGCCACCCCTCACCTCTCCCACCCGCCAAAACCTCCTCTCACATTCATATAGCTAGCAGCCCCTGCCACAAGGCAGAGCCATCGCTCGCTCACCACACCTGCGTCGCCCTGCCTTGCCATCGCGATCGATCGAGCACCTGAGAGGGGCTCGGAGGCCAAGAGCTAGCTAGCTAGCACGCCGGCCGGCGTCCGCTCGTCGGTGCCGCCGTGCGCGATGGAGGCCAGCGCCGGGCTGGTGGCCGGGTCGCACAACCGGAACGAGCTGGTGCTGATCCGGGGCCACGAGGACCCCAAGCCGCTGCGGGCGCTGAGCGGGCAGGTGTGCGAGATATGCGGCGACGAGGTCGGGCTCACGGTGGACGGCGACCTCTTCGTCGCCTGCAACGAGTGCGGCTTCCCCGTGTGCCGGCCCTGCTACGAGTACGAGCGCCGGGAGGGCACGCAGAACTGC